TCGCCAATCGCATTTACGAAACTCATTCGCATCACCCAGCGCCCAGTCTGGCCGAGAAGTCAAACAGCGAAAAATTGTTTGTTACGGACTCCTCTGGCGTGCGTGTCTGCGCGAGCTTTTGAGTATTTGTGACGTGTCATTAGCATTGATTTATCGATTAGATAAGGCGCGGAAACTCGCGATGACTTAGTTGATCTACTGCCTCCATGCCGCTTCAGCCTGAAAACGTGATTGATTGAATTTGTGCGTGCGTGACATGACCTCCAGTCGAAGCGCTGGAGTGCTTGTGGACCAACATGTTCGTAGCATCTCCAAAAATCAGCCAAAAAGAATATACCTTTCGGCAGTCTGTGAAAAGGGGGGTCAAATGTGGTTATGTAGCTTTACCTTATTCACTGTGCAGCGTAATTGTATAATAATTCTTTTACCTCAGGAGGCCGGCTTTCGAAAAAAATTTCTTACCGGCTGCGTGCAAAAGCCACACTCTATAAAAAAACTACCTACGTAGCATTATTTTTCTAATTGATTTTAGATGCCCTTAGAAATTCAATTATATTTCATGGGAAACAGGCATAAAATTGTTCATTCTTTTGCCCGTTCAATAGAATATTACGACTTCGTCCAATCTTATACTCGAGGGAGAGACATAATGTGGTCTTAAAAAGATTCTAAATGTGGGACTTTTAATACCGTGGAATGATCGTTCATAAAACATTATCTCTGAGCATTTGCCAATGTGGCTTGTAAAGTTAACAAGATTGCTCAGATCCACTGCTAAATTTTATGAACCCTATATGGTCTCCTCTTAATACCGTAGAGAAACATATGGTTCTTCGTACGCGGAAAATATACGGCTTGTAGGTTGAAACCCTGAATGCAAGTGTAACGGCAAGTCGGATTCAAAATTATTCGGGAATTGGCAAAGTGTTTGAAAACCGAATTATATCCCTCCTTCGAATATAAAATTGGAAGAAGACGTACCTTCCTACCGAGTAAGGGAAAGAATGAATAATTTTATGTAGGTTTTCCATGAAATATAATTGAATCTATAAGAGCATCGAAAATCAGTGAGAAAAACACATGCTAATTAAGTGGTCTTTTTTACAGAGTATAGTTTTTGCCTGCAGCCGAAAAGAAGTTCGTTCGAAAGCCCGGCATCCTGAGGTACCTGAATTATTATACAATTATGCTGCACAATGATTAGTTTTACAACCCTGCTTAATTAATCCTTTCGAAACGAAAACGCATTTCACAATTCCAGTTGACATTTCATGGGTTAGCCCACCTACTGTAGTTGCTTTGCCCACAACCTATCCTTGTCACGCGGAGCATATAGACCTAGAATATACTGAAATACTCCAAGTTCGCAGTTAATTTCTAAAGGGAATTAAAAAGCAACAATTTCTAAATTGGAGTATCTACCAGAAAACACACGGGGAGTGCTGGGCGACCCACTGACGAGTCGAACCCCTCGCAGCTGCGTCGTGCAGCGGCAGAATATCGATGAAGCACGCGTGTATGAGCTTTTGACTAGTACCTGTGCTGTTAGTATGGAGTCACCTTACCAAAAAGTATATGAAATAATGCAGATTTTGAAGAAAAGGGTATATTATGACCAGAGTCACTAAACCTTACCAGCAGTCAGTCACCTCACAATTGAAATGACATCCGTCAACTCCGAAGCACTTTCGTTTAGGTCGACCTCACTACATGTGGAAAGCAGTAAGTATTTGGACAGTGTTAAACTTTGTAGGAAGTAGAGTCATCCGAATGACTGGGTTGGCTGATGTACGTGCTATCTTATGCAACATCTATAATGTTTTTGTACAGCCTCTTGGTCGTTCTCGCTCTGCCTTTCCAGTGACTCTTCTGAGCAGGAGTGATGGCTGACAGGTAGAAATACGCAAATGGGAAATGACGGTGAACAGTAGCTTGGCCTATTTTGGTCACTTCTGCCTCGACAGTCCAGAGACTTTCTGAGTACGTTGATTAGTTTCAGGCATATTCAACCCGCTCTACCTTCCAATGAATCCCTCCTTCTCCACTTTACAAGAGATCCCGCGAACTTTTCATGCGTTCCTACTTCAAGTATCCGGTCAACCAACGACGAACACGTTAAGGTTCTGGGTAACTCCTGACTAAACCATCCTCCACTTTTTAAAAAAATGACACCAAGCGTGAGCAGGCACACACTGATCCATTGATTTCCGCAAGCAAGCAAGTTTCGAATGGGTCACAGACATCTCAAACCGAAGATGAACTATCAGGCCGAGTGCGAAATTGAACGCAGACAAATTTATATAGTACCGCTGCTATCATAGCTTTGTCGACTTCGGACTGATAGATTGTCGTCACCCATTCGTGAGACCTGCTTGCTTAAGAAGCCAAAAGGGCAACGGTATGAAGAAGGACACCACGTAAGTGTCAGTAGACTGTGGATCGTGTATTATGTGATTTTATCTTGGCATAAATTTGCAGGCTGATGCAGAAATTATACTGCCAACAACGATTACTTCCCACGACCTTACCCCCTGACCAAAATATATTCTTTTATGAAATTTACTTTCTGGTTATTGTTTAATTACTACTCTCATTCCCGTTGTCGTACAACAGCGTAGGATAAGCCTTTCGGCATAAGTCCAGGCAATTTCTGTGTTTTCTTTCATTTTGTCAACTTACTGTTTGGCGTGCTGCCCTCCCATAGAACTCCCTTTAACATAAATCACATATGGCGCGATCCACAGTGCACTGACAGTTAAACGGGGTCCTTCTCTATACTGTTGCCGTCAAAAGATCAGTACGTGTGCCTATCCATGTTCGAGTAAATACCTGATCTGCAGCGACGGAGAATGCGAGGTGGTGAGACACTGATGAACTTCGGTTCGACGAAGTGCTTGTGGCGCATCCCCCAGACCCCGTATGGTCCTCGTAGCCTGATGTGCGTTGGCAGTTCTCTGGCACCTGGTTGCCTGCCGGTGAGTATACAGGCCATGTGCATGGTTGCCAAGTGACTCTGTGTCATTCTCGGCTCTTTCCAACCCACTTTTATTGTTGGTTTAAACCCTGGACAAGTGCTTGTTGTGGTGTGGCGGTAAGCCTAGGTGCGCGTTTGGCCGTGTGAGGCACCTGCGCCATACCTAGCCTTAGGTCTTCTTGCTTATGGTTTGATACGGGGATCTGGCGGGGGAGATGAGGGTGCGGTAGATGCTGTGCAAGTCCACTATCGCTATAAACTAATTGGCGCACAAGTCGCCGTCCCTGCTCACATCTTCCTGTGGAGCTCACGGTGGACATTGTCAGCAACGACGGTCAATCTGTTAGACCCCGTCTGTGGATGATCTGCGCCATGTAGGAGCGCATGTTTTTGCCTCTCATTCCAACTGGTGGCGAAGGTTGCGACTGAATGAACGAAGGCATAATAAGTCAGAAACAGTACCATATCAATTTACCCGTGCTCCCTGTCGCCTCGCCCCCTGAAAATTCCAGCTCTGTCCCTCACTTTTATGGAAGGCTCTTCTGCTTGCTGGAGGCAGGTTTCAAACTGCCTTATCAGCATAATACCAATTTGTAGAAATTCTGATGTGTTGAGGCCGCTCTGCTCTTTCACCTTCATTCCTCACAACAAGCGAAGGGGTGCTGATGGCATAGGCGAACCAACAGAGCGATTTAACTAAGCGCCTGTCAAACCTGGTTTGAGGTAAACAATGCGCAAAAAGGATCTTTATTCCTGACATAGGGAATGACTTTGTCAGAATGATGGTTAGAGAGTGTGTATTAAACTTTCTCCAAACCAGATGCTTGCAGAGCGACAGTTTGACCGTCGGAAGCAACGACACGCAGTGCCCGCAACACCGATTACTTGCCAGATTATGGTCCGGCGAACTTGCACAGCACCTACTTAACTCTCCTCCCTCAGAAATTTGCTCCGCTGTCGAGAGAATGTCAAAACGACTAGGCATGGGTGCAGAAACAGTGGCTGATAAAGGCGCACAGTCCGGCTACGCGTGCATCAAACACATAGCCTGTTTCCAGCAGCATGTACTAGGGTTCGATAAGAGGCGCCTCACATCTCACACTCGTGAGATTGCAAATGAGCAAACATTAAGACGCATCTATTGCATCCTGACCAGAAGAGAGCTATCTCTTCAGTTAACAGCCTTCCAGGCCACGGGTTCCACTGATGCACCGGAGGATCACAGTTCGGCCGTGGCTTTCGACTATGTCCACATGGTGTCCCATATCATGGTGGGTGGGCGCAGGGACGGTGACTTGAGCATGAATTAGTTAATGGTGGTATCAAACTTGCGCTGAAGCTACGGCACTCCCTCCTCCTCCTCTCTCACCCGGGCATGGTGTCGTCAGAGAGTCAAGAAATTGTTGGGGCGGCAAGAACCAGCGCATAGGGCGTGACCACAGACCCCTAAACTGTGCGATGAGAGTCGCGTGACATTCTGCTTCCCTCCACTGTGGAGGTAAAATAACCAGCCGAGCGGCTCGGATGAAATAGGATGTGTTATAAACGAAAATCAAGTGACTCTGAAATGGAGATTTTCATGTCATTTTTTTGTCGTCAGACCGTCGGGCAGACTGGCGACTCTAAGGTGTCACCCTTGGTCCTCGAGAATTAAGCCGGACACGGTATACTTACCTGCAAACCTGAGTCACATCGTTTGCAAGCAGAAGCATTTGCAAAAATGGTCGTTCGCCGAGCTATGCTGATTGCGTAATGAAAATGGGAATTCCGATGCTGCGTCGAGGCTCTCCTCTAGAGCACACGCTGGGGCTCCCACAGCGATGATCGATGAATACTAAACAAAATTTTTCCACAAAAGCTTGGTGAAAGGAACGACAAAGTCCTGCTAGTACGATAGTCCAGTGAACCCCATCTCAGTATGAACCGAAACATGACCTGCGTGATGCATTTCCACCCTGATACCGTCGCATCTGAATTGGAGACGGGGAAATGAGGGTCTAGTTTTCAAACACCCCCCCCCCCCTCATGTAAAGGAGGAGGAGAAGGAGGAGGAGGAGGAGGAGGAGGAGGAGGAGGAGGAGGAGGAGGAGGAGGCGACTCAGCTCCATTAATCTCACTAAGAACCCTTGATGTAGCTAGCCTGGGCGTGTTTTGCATTTAAGTAGCCGCCACTTCGTGTTTACCCAACCACATGAGTCACGTTAAGCAGCCTCACAGGCCGTTTGTAGCATTGTAGGCCGAAAATGCGCCGTTAACTGCGTAGGCCACTGACGGTGCACTCAGCCGAGGTGCACTCACAGAACCGGACGGCGGGGCGGGGGGAGGGGATGTCAGTCGAGGAGTATTTACAATAAATCACAGCGGGCAGTGTACTCAGCCCGAAAAACTTAGAGGCTAAAGGCCGTTTTTCAAAAAAATTCTCAGCAAACGGGAGGGGGAGGGGGCGTTAGCATGAGCTGAAGTTTAATAAATACGCGTAGCGTGTACCCCTTTCCGGGAACTCAGGCGTGCATCGACATCCTTGCGTGTTTACCCTGCCCTATATAACTGCGCGGCTGAATGTTGACGGACGCGGTACTTCGAAGCGACTTCTTTGCGCACCGACTACTGAAATAGCGCGGGACTGCGCTGAAAAGTCGGGAGGCTTCGGTGATCATCTCTAGGATGAAAAGCTGCTCGGAACTGTACTCACGCATCATTAATTCTGCAACAACTGGCCGGCAATGAAGTCTGCGGTGTGCGATGAAATTTACCACATGAAAGAGTCGAGCCGAGCTTTAAAAGAGTTGCAAAACTGTTAAATGATCAGAATAAAAAGATTCAATCACAGAAACAAAAAATTTATTGGGCGGACGTTTCGGATTCTCACACGAAGCCATCATCAGAGACAGTCGCAGATAAGGGTAGCGGAGTCAAAAAGAGTGCAGTATTTATAGGACGTGGTTGCCGTGGGACTACATGCGCACCATAATTAACAGATCTCATGATCACCGCTGGGGTCGTAATTAATGCGATGATGGCTCGTCAGTCTGCGTGCAAGTCCTTAATGAGGGCGACTTCATCATTCGTGTTGCGTGTTGGCGTGACAATTTCGGCCATTTGGCTCTCTGTCACTGGACTTATTGCTCGTCCGCCCCCTCCCCACGTGACTAATTCTCAGCACCGAATATGGTAACTGGAGTTCATGGCAATTTTTGGCCGATTGCGGGCATGAGAACCATGACCCGAACAGCTCGCACCTCACGCGGTTGTCACCTCTTGCGAGGATTTCGGACTCTTGAAACTTGTAAAAATTACCGGATTCCGTGCAATGCGCTGCTACCTGAGAGCTGGGGTCTTTTCTCCATTTTAGCTTATGTTAAATAAAGAAACGGGCGCGGCGGTCAGGGTCAAGAAGGAGGGAGCAGCAAAAAAGGTTTATTCAAGAAGCTGCAGCTTAAGGGTAACGTGAACATCAATCGCCCTCTGTTTCACAAACCTAGCTGCGTCCGCACACTATTTCAAAAAGTTGAAACGCGCTGAAGCAAGCCAGAAGACAAAAGGGCCGAACGACTGTAAATTCAGAACCTATTTGTAGCTAATAGTTATCCCAGACATTTTAACAGAAGGAGCAGACGCCAAGCACACAGATGACGGCAAAGTGAGCAGCAACCCGAAGTCTGGAGGACCATTCTCTCGACTACCAGGATTCGCCAGAATAGGCATAGGCCATCGACCTCAGACAACAATTCGACGCCGTTGAATGCACCTAAGGACACGCCGACACCCGCCTGAACCGCTGAGGTTGTTTACAAACCGATGGGGACTGCAACTAAGTTGGGGAAACGAGGCGGACATTGGAGGCCCGCCTACAAGAGCACAGTTCGGCAACCCGGTGACTAGACTTAAACTCTCGACTTGCAACGCACGTAGTCGTACTTTCGATGTTTAGACAGTTACCATCTTAGGCCGGACAGATCAAAGGCAGAACGGCTAACACTTGAGGCATAGTACTCGGATGCCAACTCCGCCAATAGCCACCTGGACCTTCCTGCAACTTACAAAGTCCTGCGCCATTACGTTCATAAAGCTCAGCACCAGACGACCACACAGAACTTGAGAAGGCCAAGCAGACACAGCCCGCTGACGGGTTCGCTCGACGAGGAAGAAAAAGAGCCGCCATACCGACCAACCCCCCAATTACTTCCCTCCGACGAGGTGGTGACTCACAACGCACGCAGCTGAGAGTCCGCCAAACAACCCCGCGAATGGCCGAGGCAGTGGTAGAAGAGAAAAGTACATCAGTAGAAGGCCGACTAACGCGGCATGCCACTTCGATTAAGTTCATTTTGCGTTTTGATAATGGAGAGCCAACCAAACTCTCCGAAATGTCAGCACTCTACTAAACCAGTTTTGGTAAGCCCAGCTTATTTCTTAAGTTACCAACTCGGATCTCCCAGCGTTGCCAATCTAAACTGGAAACTACTAGGAGTAGGCTTGAAGGTCGACATCGACCACGAGAAGGGATGCTGAAACCATGTTCCCGATTGCGGAACGGCAATGCCAAAACTTCCAACGTGTGCCACCTTGCATTTTTTCTATCGATGAGCAACAGGCATGCATGCATGCAAGGATGACGCTGAATGAGGTGACCGGACGCTTAGTGGTGGACCTTTCTGATTTCCAAATCGCTGCGTTTTTTCCCAATCAACTACCCGTTCAACACCACTTATGCGAATAGACGGTAGGTGTGCAAACTCATTCAATGTCAACCGAAATCCCGAAATGCGTTTTCTACTCGAAACGGTTACTTAAGTAGGGCTTTAAAATTAATCAGCATGCTGCATATTTCTATAGTAATTCAGTTACCTAGGAATGCTGGCTTTCGAATGAACATCTTTCTGGCCTCATGCAAAATCCACACTCTTTAAAAACTGACTACTTATGTCACGTGCATTTTTCACATTGATTTTCTATGCTCTTAGAAGTCAAATTATCTTTCTTGGAAAACATGCATAAAATATCTATCCTTTTACTCATTTGGTAAAAAATTGCGTCTTCTTCGAATTTTATACTTGAAGGGAGGGTATAATTTGGTTTTAAAAAGGCTTCTAATTATGAGATCTCTTAAGACTTTGGAATGCCCGTGCATAAAACATCGTGTCTCTGCATTTACTAATGTTGTTCGAGAGTTTACAATATGGCTCAAATCCACAGCTAAATTTTATGAATCCCATATAGTCTCCTTCTAATACCATAGAGAAATATACGGCTAATAGAAGCGAAGAGACGAGTCCCAGGAAGTAGTCTTGAAGAAGGAGACACGATCGCTGGGACAAGAGCTTTATTAGCCTGACGTTTCGGATTCCTAGTTATTTGTCCCCGACTCCTATAAAGGCTGCAGCCCCTTGTGCAACAACCACCCGTTTCTGCTTTTTGTCTCTGACGATGGATTCGAGTAGGAATCCGAAACGTCAGGCTAATAAAGCTCTTGGCCCGGCGATCGTGTCTCCTTCTTCAAAATATATGGCTGTCCGTTCGCAGGAAACACATTGTTTGTAGTTTTTAAATCCTGAATACACGCGTTACGGCAGGTCGGGTTCAAAATTATTCAGGATTTCGAAAAGTTTTTGGAAACCGAATTATACCCTTTCTTCGAGTATAAACTTGAAAGAAGACGTAATTTTCTAAGGATTGGATAAATGAACGAGATGTAATTGAATTTTTAAGGGTTCCAAAATCAATAAGAAAACGTCGTAGAACTTAAGTCGTCATTTTTACAAGTTGTAGTTTTTGTATGCGTCCGGAAAGATGTTCGTACGGAAGCCAGCATCCCGAGGTAAATGAATTACTGTAGAATCATGCTGCATGAGGAGTAATTTTAAAGCCCTACCCAAGTAATCGTTTCGAAACGAAAATGCATTTCAGAATTTCGGTTAACATTTCATG